TTGACAAAATGGGCTTCTCCTATCGCTTTTCTAACAGGTCTAAACGCTGGTATATATATTTGTTTTGGCACACGCTCAAAATATCAGCTGTTAATGCATGGTTCATGCACAAGAGAATTCTCCAGCAGCACAAACAGCCGCCTACATCCTTGAGAGAATTTCTCTCTGAGCTCGAAACAAGTCTGATCTTACTCAACAAACGACCACCAGGGCGCCCTTCGATTCAGAATGTCACACCATTCAAGAAAGTGTGCCTAAATGTCCCCCGGGATGTCAGAAGAGACAGCAAGGAGCACTGGCCCACATGGAATGCAAAACGGAACCACTGTAAGGCATGCCCAGGAGGGTACACCTATGTTTCGTGTGCCAAGTGTAAGGTGATATTGTGTTTCAACAAAGACTGTAACTGTTTTGTTAGTTTTCACCAGTAGGTGCCAAACAGCTATGCTTCAGTTTTGTGCTTTCTTCTATTTGAAAATTCGCCAAAATAATTGGTGGCAATAAAAAGTTTTTTTTTTCACTTGTCTTGGCGTCCGTTTTATACACTACTGCCCATTGTTGCACATATGCAACATCCCATTAATAATTTGCAGACTATATCTTCAAGTTTTTTATTGAACATTTGTACTCCTAGTGACTCTAAGAGCATGGCAAAGAAATATTTTGAAGTTTGAAAAAATGTTTCTCATACTGGGAATTATTGGGTTATGGAGTTGGCACGTTCCAAGTTGGAAGTAACGACCTTGTAAACATCTCGTAGCCGACTATGTCACAAGTATTCAGTCGAGCGGATACTAGCTATGGTTGAAAACACTTCTTACCGTACTGGTAAAACTTCTCGAAGTGGTGCAAATACTTTCCTAGTTGTTTGGTTGGTCATTCACATAATTACAGTGTGTGGTTCGTTGAATTCTATAGTGAGATGCTTCCACGTTTTTCCTTTTCTCTGAAGGCACACGGCATCCGTCTTGGTACTTGTTCACAAAATCCGTCAGGGCGTAGCTACTTTGTCGGTGAAGTTCACTTCAGTGCACCGTTCCACAGTCCGTGCAACTTCGTAAAAAAAGCTGTTATGCTACTCAAATTATGAAATAAATGAAGTGAAATTAAAAAAAACAAAACAGCAAACGCTGCAGTGAGCCCGATAACACAACCGAATACAACGTAAAGATACAAGACGTCGAAATAACAAAAAAAAACTGTGTCGACTAGAGTTGCAGCAAAGTGGCCAGACCAAAAATATGTATTTCACCAAAAACTGCAGGCACCTAAACAAACACTCTGCTGTTTGCATTTGGCTGCTTCTGTGCCTATTGTTGTTTGATTCTTGCAGTAAGGCTGATTTATTACTGCTTTAGGTAATGATTTGGTAGCAAACATTCACCAACCCTCACGCCCAGGGCCTATACTTAACGAGTTAAGGACGCCTTTAATATGGTGCCCTTACGACAGGATAAGGTAGGTTCCCGAAAGGCACCTTGTAGTTTTCTTACACTTGCACTTTCCTCGTCCTTTCGTAAGCATCCTTACCGCCACAACTTAAGATCGGTTCATGAATACGGCGGTTAGGGGCCCATGCAGGCCCACCCCGTATTTGAATGGTGGAGAGTGTTTTACAAAGAATAAAATTGAAAATAGGTGTTTGTAAACAAGTGACCCCCCCCCCCCCTTCTCAAAAAATGATATTGCTGGCTACGGGCTTGAAAGGGGTATGTCATGCCGCGTCCAAGTCTACTCCACAGATTTAGGTGGAGCAACTTTTCCTGCTTCACAGAGCGACACCAACTCTCTCTCATGGTTACATTTGACTCCCACCTTTAAAATTGTAATTTAAATTGTTATTTATATTGTAATTGCAATAAGTTTGCTCCAACTCTGCCATTGGAAATTATTGTCAAGTAAAACAAGCAGCATGAAAAATCGAAGAGGGCCGTACTATTGCAAGCCAGCAGTGATTTCAACTTTAGATATAAATAAACAAGTGTGTGAGTGAAACACCTCTGATGCAACAGACATCATCACTGCAAAGGATTTATGTTTTGTCCTGTCCTTAGTATGAGACAAGCAGAAGGTAAAAGGATGTCCGAAAAATTTTTGAAGGATCTTTTAGTATGCTCAACAAACCAATACAGTGTTTCTTTTTCTGATTAAACTATAATGCAGTTTACTTTTTATACTAATAAGAAGCTTTAACCTCTAGTAAGTAGCTGCAAATTATGGAGCCTAGCCTCATTGTTCTCATATCAAAAATATGAGATGTGAGTAAGTGCAAAGCTTTTTCACACATCTACAAAACCATAGAATACCGCTCACTATGACAAGCCCCCATTACAATACACTTGATTTCCCCCTACGCATGTCGCAAGGCCTCACGACTGGAAAAAATTGTGCTACGATTGCTGCGGAAACAAACTATCAACGTGTGGCTCAAAAAGCATCGCTATGCATGCCAGCAGACAGCCATCGCAGGCAACCTTTTTATGCACTGCAGAGAATGTGGGTGCAGCCCACTGTTTGAAAAAACTACAATTCTGGCCAAATAAAAAAATAAGACAACACGCCAAATTTGGGATACATATCAGACAAAAGAAGCGCATGCATCAGTTCCAGCTGCATTGTACCAACCCCCATTAAAATCTAATTCATGATTGATTGATTGATGATTGATATATGGAGTTTAACGTCCCAAAACCACCATATGACTGTGAAAGACACCGTAGTGGAGGGCTCTAGAAATTTCTACCACCTGGGGTTCTTTAACGTTTGCCCAAATCTGAGCACACAGGAAAACGAATTGATCAGAAGCCATAAATAGCATTTTAATCAGCATACTTGGATAAGAACTTTGAATCAGCACCACATCTAGTAATTGTAATCACCCCAGGTGTTGAACCTGAAAACCGTGGAGCAAGATCGCCGATTCCCACTCTCTTCGTAAACTGATTTTTCTTTTTCCAGGAAGCCTTCATTCTTCCAAGCTTGTTCATAAACTTGATGATGATGTGTGGGGTTTAACGTCTCAAAACCACCATATGATTATGAGAGACGCCGTAGTGGAGGGCTCCGGAAATTTCGACCACCTGGGGTTCTTTAACGTGCACCCAAATCTGAGCACACGGGCCTACAACATTTCCGCCTCCATCGTAAATGCAGCCGCCGCAGCCGGGATTTGAACCCGCGACCTGCGGGTCAGCAGCCGAGTACCTTAGCCACTAGACCACCGCGGCGGGGCTTGTTCATAAACTTCAGTTGATAGTTTGAACTTGTAATGTCCACTTCTTTTTTTTTGTCTCCTCCATAACTTCTTTTTCTGCAGCAATTGTATCTCAATTTTTTCCAGAAACCAAGTAGCCCAATACCTTACTTTGTTAACGTAAGGCTTCACATATTTCTACACAAAAAGCCCAATCAAAAGCGTTTATTTTTGTATCCTTACAGTAACTCTACTGAAATCTTGCTGAGAAATGGTGTCATTTTGCTAAGAAACTTTGAGGTCACGAAAAACTTTTCAAACTGCCCTCTCTCCACTAGGTTCCTCAAGCGAAACAAGTATTCTTCATGAACTTCGTTTTCTACCTCAGAGCAAGAGGCTTCAAGCTTTCGCACGACGGTGCCGTAGTCTTCCGGACTATCTTCGTCCATGAACAGGAAGGTGTTGAACGCGTCAAGGGCGTCGTCTCAAGCCACACTCAGCAGGAGAGCAGCTTTCGACGATTCGCTCCTTGAATGTTCCTTCGACGCTGTCGCCTGAAGAAACAAGTCAAATTTAGGCTTAAAGCGCTTCCAGTTCGAAGCCAGGTTACCAGTCAGCTGCAGTGGTTCAGGGGGTCTTACTTCCATCGCTGCTTTTTCGCGGGTGGCTAGGGCACCAATTATGACACCATGTATCGCACTTAAAATTGACAGAGGCAACAGCAGGGTGCAAAACAAGCAAAAGGGCTGCTTTATTACAGTGCATCGTATTTATAACATTGTATAGGTACACTGCACATGCGCGAGCAGGGAAGTGAATGCATGATGAAGGTACATGACTGATGCAAACGTGATAATCATCAGATGCGTGTCATGGAAGAACATGACTACATGCCACGCTCATGACACGCTCGCGGCCGTTTGCCTAGCTTCAAATATACCAAATTTTGTGTTATGTGACACCAATGTATGACAAATGTATATGACTGGTACAAACATATAATCATGACATTGTCTTCTAAAACCTGCTACGCTCATAGCGTGCTCGCGGCCCTTTAGCTGGCTCGACATATACCAAATTTAGCACTACTTGACTTGAATGGACGATGAGGTTAAATGACACGTCAAAACATGATCTTTTTTGGTAATGAAGATAGAAGAGTGCGACACGATAAGTGATTAAAGAATATATATTCTGCACGTACGAAATGGGGATTTATTCAAGTTTCAGCTACTGAACCAGCCTTCGTTGGACATAGGCTGTTGTAGGGGGGCGCCTTAAGTTTAACCGAACCCAGTGGTTGATCAACTATGTGTCTGCCCTTTTACTTCTTTCTTCCCATAGAATCCACTAGACGTCTGCAGAAAGCGGCGCAAAGGAAGTTTATATTTCTCTTGTAAACTTGAAAACACTTGTTAACAGCACTCGTTCATCATAGCATGAAAGAGAAAGCTTCAACGAGCTAAAGATACGGCAAAATGAAAGTATAAGGATAAAACAGCCCATTTGTTCGGCACACGACTGCATTCTGCCTAAAAAAAGCATTTTTGCACGTTAGTAAAAACAGCTTGCTCTTTTAGTTCTATTGTTACTTTTTAGGCAATGGCACATTAAGGAAATTGTAGCAAAAGCAAATCGTGAAATGCACATTGTGGAAAAAAGATTGACATTTGCGTGATTTGTAATCTACTTGCTTAACAACCACGTAATTAAAATTAATTCAAAAAAGAGCATTCACACACGCGTAGAAGTTTATCCCAGCCTAATATATTGTCACACAAAAGACACGCCATCTTTAGGGTATCATGAACGAGTACTTATTCTGGAGGCCTGTTGCTGAGGCTGGCACTCTTGTTCAAGCTACCTTCCGTACGTAATGCCCCATTATTCATTATTATTATATGTATTATGAATATACACTGTAAAAAACATGCATCACGCATAGTACTACGAATGAAATGATGACGTGTTGTAGTTGTTCGAGGCATTCCGTTGCGAGCATAGTTAATGCTGTGCTAATGTACTTTTGCAGTGTATATCGCTATTGAATTTCACAAGGATGTAATAAAATAACTGAATCTAAGGACAACTCTTTCTAAAGTTAGGTGATAACCCATCTGATTGGTTATCACCAGTACATAGGAGGGATTGGTGATCAAGATGGTGGCTCGATGTACTTCCCCTGTACATTCCTTGGCATTACTGTCTGTTAGATCTCATTATATTGTGCTAAAACACGAAAAACGAGCCCTTAGGTATACACTTCTTTTCCTTATTTCATTGAACAAGGGTCTCGTACTGGCAGACTTGGTGTGTTTGAGTTGTATAAGAGGGACAATTAACCAGCTGCCCGCTCATAATAAGTTCACGTGCTACGTGACCGCAAACATGCGCGTAAGAGTGTTTTCACACTCGTCGTTTGGCTTATAGATGGCGCTAACTGTCACTCCTACTTCTAAATTCACATATAAACCCAAAAAAGTGGATGGAGGGAAGGCCGCTGTGGTAGCTCAGTGGTTAGAGCATCTAACGCGTTATTCGAAGGTCGTAGGTTCAATTCCTGCTCACGGCTGGTTATTTTTTCATCTACTTTTCTTTCTTCTCATTTACATTCCATTGGTTCTAATAACTTCCCCTGTACATTCCTTGGCATTACTGTCTGTTAGATCTCATATATATATATATATATATATATATATATATATATATATATATATATATATATAGATTACTCCGGCCGACTGAAGAAATTTATCAGCCGGAGTATTTTTTACCGGCATTTCCTTGCGGTTGGTAGGAATGATTACGTGGCACCTCGGGAGCATCTTTTGCGGATTTTCCACTCCAGCTGGCCAGAGGTTTTTCGCGGTACCTCTGGAGTATTTTACGAATGTACTTACTTTGTCCGGACAGAATTTAGATGAAGCGGATCTGTTTTTCTAAGTGTTTGCTCTGTTGTTTATTTATTGTTTCTTGAACGTTTGACGCAATGGTTAGATGAAGAAACTTTTAACTGTCGTGCAAGCACTGCAGAGTTACTGTGGATTTTTTACACGGAACACTAGTAGATGAAATTAAAAAAAAACACTTGAGTTCTCATTGTTTGATTTATTCGAAATAAGTGGCAGTTTCTGGTTTATGACTCAGATTTTGGGGAAAGGACACAAGAAATAAACTTGTAAAGCCACAAAAAAAACAACAACACAAGAGATATATCAGAATAAATCAACAGCCCACAAGTTTTAGGCTCAGCGCTTTGAAATGGAGCAAAGAACGCTGCAAAATGATGCTCAAAAAGCGAAGAAGGTGCTGGTATCGGCGAAAACTCTTCACCATCCCCGAATAACCATCCATCATATTCGCTACGAAGCAAGGGTTCAGCTGATTGCTTTCTGTATAATTTAGCAAAAATAATTATACGTGAACACTGCTAACCATGCGTGAGGTAGGAAGACTGAGAACACTAAAGCCACAGAGACTCGATAAATCCTATACACTCTCTGAGTACACGAAAATAACTAACTTGCTAAATTGACCACACACACAAACAAACAAATAAAAAACAAGATGAGCGTTCAAAATCAAAACGCACATCCTACGTACTTCGTTGTCAGACAGCCGATACAAGATAAAGACACACCTCCATGACGGGAATAAAGTGCGAAACTGTCCTACATTTAATATATTTCTAAATTGATAGCTCTACCTTTGCTGACACATTCAAAAGCAATTTTAGACTAATATAATTGAGCTTTGGTACTCTCATAGATAGCATCACGAATGACCTTCTGTATCAGTACCTACATGTATAAAATCGTAAATGCTGAATATTTCAGTCGCCTACAAGTACGTGGTCATCGTCATTTTTCTAGGAAAGCAGGCCCTTACAATTTGCGTGGTAGTGGCCTCTCTTTAACAAAAGCGTAGCTTCATCGTCTTTGCAAACTAACTTCGAAATAAGTTGGCATTATTTTTTTATTTAGCACTGCCCACACAGTTTTATTACTTGTCTAAGTGAAGATATTTCAAAGTAGCTATAGCAAGAACATGTATTTCTTCAAAACAAAAAGCGTCCAGCAAAAGATAAAAAAAAGTTCGCTACACGGTATTAAAATTAAGTAGCAATAAAACGTACAAACATTGCGCCACCTAAGTCAATCGCATTTTCATATATACTGACGAAAACAAGCTAAATCCGACCAGTTTACTCAACTTAAAGGTCCGTGCGAACGTCCGGAGGCCACAGAAGGTGATGTACACGGAGGTGTCATGACGCACCCAAAGTGTTTACCAGGCTTGCAGATATTCTCTTTTCCCCTGTTCTGTTCACAGCCCAGCGCCGTTGCAATGTCCAGGTCAAAAATTTGTCTCAGCACCTTTCATAAAAAATAGAAATAAATGTTTTATTCCAAGAGAGGACGAAAAGGCAAAGATTTAAATAGTTTTAACTGTTTATTCACGGAAACGTAGCTCCCATCTTCTCCCTCCCCCCCCCCCCCCTAAAAAAAACTGCAGCCACGGCCATAGCCGCAGGACTGAAAAGAGAAAAAAAATGCAGCAGCAGGATAGTGTTCTCTCCCGCCGTCAACACAGAAAATACGGCTAGTTGTTCGAGAGGGTATCCTCTCTTTTCTCTCTTTTTTGCACTCCGATTTCCCCTCCGTATTACAAAGTTGAGCCCGGCTGCCAAAGGGATTCAGCTCTGTTTTTACAGAAATGTCGAGCGCCCTACGACTTGTTCTGCCAAGCAACCCTGTCGTTTCTTTCGCATTCCTCATCCTAAGTCTCGTGAGTTCCTTTCGTCTCTCTTTCTCTTGCCCTGAAAGCACCACGTCAGTCGAAAAGTACAGTGTACTTCTATATTAATGTCTGACATACCAATTATACAATAAAAATAACTTTTCATCAATATGTGTGCATGTGTGCGGTCTAAACGTCTATACCAAACACATTGCCCGGCCTCAATTCACTATATCTGTAAAAAAACACCGCTGATCTCACTTATTTAAGTTCAAGTATCAAGTTTCAAGTTTTTCTTTTCATTTTCTTTTTACAAGAAAAAAAAGAAACGCAAGGGCAAGGAACAAAAAGATGCAAAACAGCACCTTGACGAGGTTCCTGCCCCCTTGGCTTGGCTACATACAGTTCACACGCATCTTTGTCAACAACATGCATATATATACAACGTCTGAACACTTTTTCATTTATACAATAACACAAAATATCTACATCTATTCACATACAACAGTTTTCATACATACATGCAATCCAGCATGGAAAAAAGAGACAAAAAGAAAAAAAGACTTGATAGTTGAGATCAGCAAATATGTTCATATAATTGTACCCTTATTTAGTAGGTTTGATTTTAACGCCTTCTTTGCAAGAGTGCTCCACTCGCTTTTTGAGGAATACAACACATTTAAAACCCAAGGCACTCAGTACTGCAATCGAGTCGAGCCGTAATTTGTTTTTGAAAATGGCGAAACCCAATGGTTTCGTTTTCTCAATTCATATAAAGGTTTCTGTGATACAGCTAGGTTACACAAGTTTTATTAGTTCAGCTTACATGATAGATCAAAACAATTCGCACGCACCGGTAGACCTCGACATGGCGTTTATTGATATGTAAAGCGGACAAATATTTCTCTTTATGTGTACTTAAAGACCAAAAAGATTTCTGAATCAGTTAGACTTATAGCAGTTTTCAACTTTTTATAGAAGCAACCCTAAACTGCGATATTTTCCATTGTTGCATATTTAATCAGCGCTCCAAATATTAACGTGGCTTGATTCAATTTATCAAAGTGTTTTTAAAAACACACGCTGTCCACGCAACGCAATATGGCAATTTTGCGGACTTTTTACCAGCGTTTTGTAAAATTAGCCAATTACTGATCACAACTTTGGTTAATCAATCTAACATTGCTCAATCTTAGCACTACCTGACACAGGTAATTCAAGAAGCGCTCACTCACCAGTTTTGCGCCACAACAGCGACTGCCGGGTCGCTCAACACTCGCAAGATGCCAAAGTGCCGCTCGCTGCCCAGAACCATCACATGACTCAGGATCCCACAATTCCCTTCTTTCGATGAGAACCTTCGGTGCCGCTTATAGTTCGCTTGCGATATCCAGAAAGTGCAGACAACGATTTCCTTTTCCTGAACGTGACCGAATGCTTCGCACTATCCGTGCTGCACCGGCTTGGTCTGTTCCATGTTGGTTTGTGGGGAACGGCCACCCAGCGAGAACGCTGCCTACGTCACTCCTGCAACAGCCAGTGAAAGCGGCTGAGCGAAGCACTGGAGCAATCGCGGAGCATCCACCGGAGCGCAAGTGATCTGCTCGAGCAGTTGCGGAGCAACCACCGCAGCATATTCAGGAAATAGGGTTCGTTTTTGCTCGCTATCCTTCGTCCGTCATTCATCGGAGGAAAACGGTCGAAAACTACTGTATATGCTCCGGTACATCCGGGTTTAAGTGAGGTAACTGGACCAGAGTGGGAGCATCATCTTCCAAATCCACCCAGCTGGGTATATTTATATTTACAGTGCGTGTACGTGTCTGTCTGTATGTGAAAGATATATTTACTGAAAGATCCCTAATTCCTCTGTACAGGGGGTGGTTAGAGGTGCCTGCCTAACTTCTTTAGCACGTACTCGCCAGCAGCTTCCTCTAACCTTGTCCTTAGGCAGCACCACTTTGCAGATTGCTGCTACTGGTTAGTACATATGCTGGAGCTCGCGATATCCAGAGAAGTTACCGCGAAACGCTTTGTCCTTTCAGCACCTAAGCCATGAAGGGAGCGGTTGTACTTCTCGTCGTCAGCGTGACCGTCGCAGAATGTTCCTCAAAAAGGCCTGGTGAATGGATGGATCAGGACCCGTTGAGTGATCCAAAGTATATGAAACTCGCGCACTATGCGCTTATTGACCAGGAGCCCAAAAAAAAGTACTACTACACAGTTCTGAACTTGCTGGAAGTAAAGACACAGGTGAGGCCAATTATTTGAATACGTAACAAATAACCATGGACGTCGTCCTCTCTTTCAGCTCAGTGTTGCGTGATAATTTTCGCGCTTTTTTTTCAAGTGCATTCTATGGTGGTCTCCGGCGTGGAAATCCCACACCGTACTCTCTGGCGACAGAGGCTGCACTGGCTGGAAATATCGCTGTTCGTAAATAACCTCGAAAATAAAGGCTATGAAAAAAGCTGCGTTTTTAGCTTGGCGAGAGAAATTAGTGGGCCAATCATATGGTGGTTTTGGGACGTTAAACCCCACATATCAATCAGAAATTAGTGGGCCAAATGCAGCGCAGGAGTACCAGTAACAGAGAATTGGTGATGAGAGAAGTTGTAGGCACAACAGCCCAATAGGAGAAAATAAAAACAAAAGCCCAGCGTGCAGTATATTGGAAGAAAATCTCAGCAAACAGTGATTAAGCGAACAAACGTCTTCCCTAAACATCGGTCTTAACTCGTGCTGTCGTTCCTTCATGAAGTAATGCCCTCATTAAAAATTAACTTTAAGGAAAGAATTAGGCCAGCTTAAGCCTATTTTTTTTATGATCTGTCCACATATGTAAACGCTGGGATACAAAGAGTTAGGATCAGGTGAACAGCATGTCGTGGTAAGTTTTGGCTATCACGTAAGAGTGATAAGCACACCGCTGTTCTTTTGGCAAACAAAAGTGTTTAATGCCAGGGCTCACCCAACCTTTACTGTTTTATTTTCGTCCCGGATATGACGCTGTAAAATGTATAGAAAGAAACCAGAAGAAAACAATTGGCAGATCACACGTACAGCGGGAATCGATGTGTGAAGCATCATTGAGGAACGTTGGTGTGTCTGTTTGAAATCAGCACAGCGTTACGAGGCGGAGGTAAATTATGCCGTACATGACTTCTATATCATTGTTATCATGTTTAGACGTGTCATTTATTTTTTTCATCTATTCAAGTCATCTGATACCAAATTCAGTATATCTGCAGCTAGCGAAACGGCCGTGAGCGTGCTATCAGCGTAACATGTAGGCAACTTTTACATGACACGCATGCCATGGTTTTAATGCTTGGACGCGTTATTTACATTGGTCGTCCATTCATGATACCAAATTTGGTATATGGGTAACTATTCAAATGGCCTCGAGCATGCTATGAGCGTAGTATGTAGTCATGCTTTACATGACACGCATCTCAGGATTATCATGTTCGGACGTGTCATTTACATTCGTCGTCTATTCACGTTATGCGACGCCAATTTCGGTACATGTGAAGGTAGCGAAAAGGCAGCGAGCGCATCATGATGGGCCCGATATACTCCAACGTAACGTTAACGCCCGCGCGCTCCGGGTGCAGCGATGGTACACTAGCGAAACACCAGGCGCGACCAGCGTCTGTTGGTGAGGCGCGGCGGTAACCGGCGCGAAATGCGATGGCTCCCAGACAGCACCGCGTCCGCGTAGCTTTGTGACGAAGGGACGCTGGGCGCACTCAAGCGCGCAGGTGTCAAAACAGCGCCTCCTATATTTTTTCGTGCCTGCCGCGTGAGTGCCGCCACGCCCACCGTGCCCTCTCGCTTTACTCTCTCGATTCTGCCCCTCGACGCCGCTTGGCGGCTCTGCGCTATACCCTTTGTGCTATACCCTCTAAACTCTGTCTATTTTCAACGAGACAGAGTTCAGTTCGGACTGGCACGGTGAATGAGCGTGTTTTTGAGCGTTCATGATAGACTGCGCCGATAAGTTGTTTTGCATGTTTTTAGTTTGCCTTTATAAATAATAAGGTAGCAGTTAAAACCTTTGTTGCACCAATTACATCGTATCGGTTTTTCGCTGGTCAGTCATCAGGCATTTACTAGTTTGTTCTTGTGTGCGTGTGTTTGGTGCTTCGATTTTTTTTCTCTTGCCACTCCATGGGGGAGGAGCACGTACACTGAACAAGCAAGTTTTTGTAGTTGAGCTTAGAATTTTTCTTTTTCGCAGGGCAGAGATTGTGTTTTGTAAGTATCGAGTAAGACAAGTCATAAGAACAATTGGTGTCAGAAAGACATGGTTAAAAAAATTCCGCCATGTTCACGAAGTGAATGATGATGAGTGGGCGAAGCTCCGGAGGTAAACCTGGTAAACCATGAATCCTCTGTACATTTTGCCCACTCGATTTTATTACATCGCTCCCCCTAGCGTACGTCGCCGCACTAAATCGAACGATTGCCTTCAACCAATGACACGCGCCATATGTGACATCATTCCTATTTTATAAGATTTCGCGTCTTTCATAAACTACAAGTACCGCTTTCTAGTTTATAACATCTTGCATCTTTTCATCATCAGCTACAAGTACCACCATCTAGTAAACACTACAAGAACTAAACGAGAGGTGGCTACATACAGGAGACGGTACCGCCATATAGTGAATACTGCAAGAACTAAACTAGTGGTGGCTACATACAGGGGACGGTACCGCCATCTAGTGAACACTGCAAGAACTAAACTAGAGGTGGCTACATACAGGCTACAGGGGACGCACAGCCCACGCCCTAAGGAGCTTCGCCCCTAAAAGACTGTAAAGTATTCAGGACGTGGGGTGGGTTTGAAAATAGACCCAAATGCAGAAGCGATCGAGAGGAAGCTGACATGAAATGTAGGCAAAGTGGGGTCAAGGAAAAAATTGAGAAACATGGTTGCCCAGAGTGCACTGCTGATAAGAATCACTGAGCTGGAGCCTGCGTTAGCGACAGAGCAAGACCAAACGAGGACAATGGGAGGAAGGTTGAAGTCCGCCGAGAAAGCACTAGCAAAGGTGAACAAAGGAGTGGCCGATGGACAGAAGAGTGGGGCACCAGCAACCACAAAGGCGGAGAAAAAAGAGCAAGCAAGTTTGCAAGAAACAGGTTCAGCCTGTTCAATTGTCGCAAGGCCCAGCTTCAGCGATTTAGTAGTGGGGCTGGGAGGGGACAAAGCAGCTGGCGTCACAGGTGTATAAGTAACCCCCAGGTTCAGGATGCTCCAGCTGAAAAGTCACAGCATGTGATAATTGCCGGGGACTCGAATTTAAATTTATGCTCAGAAGCAATCAAAGAGAGAGTAATAGGTGACAAGAGGGTTGCAGTAGGGACGTTCCCAAGATTCCAGCAGGAAGGAGTCACGCGCCAAGGGACCGCAAGACTTAAAACTGCAGCTGATAGACAAAACCTCGCGATAATTTCAGGCGTTTTAAACGACGTCTTAAATGAAGATATGGCAGAACTAGCGACCACACTGGCCAAAGGAGTCGATGACATGCCCGCCACTCCTCCTCAGGTACAGGTAGTGATATGCACGATACCAGAGGCACCAGGTGCGTGACGGCAACCTGCAAAGAGCGGTTGTCAGCGCAAACCAAGGGATACGGCAGATGAGTCGAGAGAAAGGCTTTGAGGTGGAAATAGACGGAGAGGTGCATGGGTGGGGTGGCTTTCAACGACACAGAATTCTCTTCGATGGGCGGTTAGATCATGAGGTGGGTTGGCGACTTGACGGACGCGCATTAGCTTTTTTTGAGGGGCACGCTGGTCCCTCGAGGTGCAGGATAGCTAGTAACTCGGAAAACAACCAAGGAGACTACTGGAGAGGTGGTATGAACAGATACGATTCCAAAGAGGCACCAGTATATAAGATACGTAGAGTCCGGGGCAGAAATAGACGTAGCCACGAGGGCCGAGCCAATTCAGAAATAGGGTATATTAACATGCAGGTTGGCAGGAACAGCCTGAAGGGGGAAGAAATAAAAGAACAGCTAAGGGAGGAGAGACCGATGGTATACGGTTTTGTAGAAACACATCTTAGAGACATGAAACAACCTCTTAACAATCCGGACTACGCGTGGGAATATTGTAATAGAACAGATGGCAGCAGAAAGGGGGGTGGTGTTGGGGCATTCATTCATAAAAGTACAGACTGCCAAAGGGTAAAGCAGGAGTGCAAGGAACATTTATGGCTAAAAGGGCAAGTGGCAGGGCGCATGACACTCTTTGGTGTTGTGTACTTGTGGACGGGAGCAAAGGCCAGAGAGGAAAACCAGGCAATTGTAGAGTGTATATAAAAGGACATCGAGAAATTAGGAGGAGACAGCGAGATAATTATACTAGGAGATATGAATGCGCACATAAAAGATATAGATGGGTATACCTACCCAACTGGCAAAGCTATGATTTGATCATTTGCAACAGTACCTATTAGTGTAAAGGGCAAATAACACGGGAGGTGGAAAGGCTTCAGTCGATGATAGATTACGCGCTGATGTCACATAGTATGTATCATAGGCTCAGGGAAAGCACATAGATGAATGTGGCACCAGAAGCCTGGGTAGTGATTACAAACGGATGAAGTTAAGTTTTGGAAGAACAGTGAAAGTGGGAAGGAGACAAGATGAGCAACTACAGGAAAACTTTTATTCAGGAAGGCAAATACAAATAGCTACTAAACAAAATGAGAAAGTAATCACTGAGCATAAGAAAACATTGTGGACATACACGAATCTAATTAGACTGTTTAAGCTAGGGCTTGCTAAGGCACGTGACAAGTCACCCCGGAAAAGAAGACACAAACACAAGAGTTGGTGCGATGAGGAAGTCAAGAGAGTCATATCAAAACATCAGGAAGCCTCTAGGGAACAGAGACATGCTAAGCAGCGGGGTGAACTGACAGATGATGTAGAAAGAAAATGGGAAATCTTTCTAGAAAGATTTCTCATTTTGTAGAAAGCTGTAGAAAGGATGCATCCCTTCTGAACAATGAAAAGATTAGAAGAAAGGGAGCTCACTTGGCTAGCAGAAGTACATGGGAAAGATAGAAAGGCAGCTGCAAAATTTCGGAACCATCTAAACTCTCTATGAAATGAGACGAGCCTAGAGCAGAGGTTTATAACGAAAGCTCAAGGTGCGAGGCGGGAAGGGGACAAAGCTATTGAATATATAAGAACATCGGTGACAGAAAATTTCCAACAAAGAAGTGC